AAAGTATATTTGTTATAAAATTTTCTATGATACTATAATGAAAAATAAAAATTTTATAAATCAAAAATTTTTTTAAGAAATATAAAATTGAAAAATAACGATGTCAAAAGGAACTGAAGTAATTTCTGTGTCTGCATTATCCGAATTTTTATTAGAAATTAGTGAAAGTTCTATTTCTAACAATGGTGTTTTTAATTTAGCTATTAGTGGTGAATATTAAATAAAATCAAAAATCAAAAGATGTAATAGTAATCTTTTTTTTTAATAAGGTGGTTCAATGAGTAAATTATTAAAAGAAGCTTTTAAAAAAAATGAAGCGAGTTTTGATTTTTCAAAGTGGTAATGAAGTTTAAATATTTACAGCTTTTTATTTTTTTTTTTTAACTTTTCATTCACTTTATACTAACGTTGTTTATTGATTTATATTTTTTTTTCTAATTATCAAGGATTATTTTTTTTGCCGATGAAAGGTTAGTCAAGTTTGACAATAAAGACTCTAACTTTAATGCATCAAATGAAGAAATTTTTAAAAACTTTAAAAGTTTTAAACCAGAAAATATTAAGAAAATTGATCAAAATTTAATTAAAAATCCAAAAGAGTGTGCTGTAAATTATCAGGAACAGATTTTTAATAACTTCAAGTTAAAAAATGATGGTTCCGAAATTCCTTCGTTTGATTTAATCTTATTGGGATTAGGTAATCTAAAAACAAAAAAAATTCAAAAAAAAGTTATTTATATAATTTATATTAGGTCCAGACGGTCACACTGCATCACTTTTTCCTAACCATCCATTGCTAAATGAAATAAAACTTTTAGTAGCTCCTATTACTGATAGTCCAAAACCACCACCTTGCAGAATTAGCTTTACCTATCCATTAATAAATAATGCGAAAGTATAAATTTTTATTTTTTTTTTTTTCAGAGACTAAAGTTTTTATTTATTTTTTTATTTTTTCAGGTAGTAGCTTTTATCAGTACTGGTGAATCAAAAGCGGAAGTTTTAAAAAAAATTTTGGAATTAAAGGATTTAAGTTTTCCTGCAACTAGAGTGACTCCACTTTCTAAACAATTATTTTGGTTTTTGGATACTCCTGCTTCTTCCAAGTTAAAAAGTCCTATATAAGGAAAAATTATATATATATATATAGATAATCCTTAGTCCTGCTGTGTAAAAATCTGAATATATCTATAATAAATTTTTTATTACCTTCAGCACAAAATTAAGAAAAATTTTGATATAATTTCTTTCGTTTTTTGCCAATATATATTTTGGTAAATAAAGAATTGTTATTTTTTTTGAATAGTTAAAAACAAAATAATCAAAAGCTACAAAAAAAAGTTTATTTTTTTGTAGTAATGAAAAAAAACTATTTTTTTTGAAAAATTTTTTTTTACAAAAACTTAAAAAATAATACATAATAACTAAAGATAAGAAATGTCTAATGTGTATCAAAATGAACCTCCAACAAAAGGGAAAGTTATTCTGCACACAACCGCAGGTCCATTAGAGATTGAATTATGGGCAAAGGAAATACCAAAAGCGTGTAGAAATTTCGTTCAATTGTGTATGGAGGGTTATTATGATAATACCATATTTCACAGAATAATTCCAAACTTTATTGTACAAGGCGGTGATCCTTTAGGAACTGGGGAAGGTGGCGAATCCATTTACGGAAAACCAGTATTAAGATTTTTATAAAAAATGACTTAACTTTTAATTCCTAATAGTTTGAAGATGAATTCCATACCAGACTTAGATTTTCACATAGAGGATTACTTGCCATGGTAAACTTTTTTATAAAAACCCCCCACTTGCATTTTAATGATCTTGAAAGGCATCAACTAGCTTGAATGAAAACTCTAGTCAATTTTTTTTTACTCTTGATAAAGCTGAAAGTTTAAATAAGCAGCACACTATATTTGGAAAAGTAGTAGGAGATACAATTTTTAATTTATTGAAAATTGGAGAATCTGAGGTGGATACAGTATTTTTCTATTATTAATATTACTTTTAGGTTGGGGAAAGCGAATTTCCCATATATCCGACAACTATTACCTCAGCGGAGATTGTTGCTGACCCGTTTGAAGATATAGTGCCGCGAACAACTCCTGAAGAAAAAAAAAGAAAGAAATTAGAGGAGGAAAGATTAAATTTTGAAATAGAACAGGCAAAAAAAAAGGGAAAAAAATTAAAAAAAAATTTGAATCTACTTTCTTTCGAAGACGACAACAACAACGATGAAATTCATGATTTGGAAAATAAAAAGATTAAAAAATTTAAAAGTATTCACGATATTAGTGACGATCCCTCATTTTTAAAAGAAGCTGTTGCATTTAATGTTAAAAATAATGAAGAATTTAATTCGAAAAAAACAAAGAAGCTGAAACATGAAATGAATTTTGAAGATGAAAATTATGAAATTGAAAATCAAGTACTTTTAAAAAAAGAAAAAAATGCTAAAATGTAAGTTTGTTTTCAGTTTTCAATTTTTTTTTTGAATGATATACTACAAAGCTGAAAGTGGTTTTCTACTTTTTTCTTGTTATTGCAAAAATAACAATATTAATATTTATAAAATGAATTTATTTTTAAATTAGGTCGATAATAAAAAATGAAATCCTTTCACTTCAAAAAGATATCATTGAACAAAAAAAAGGAAAAAAGGAAAGGAAGGAAAAAAAACAAAAAAAATTAAGTCTAATTGAAGAAATGAGAAGTCAATATGATAGAAATACCACTTCCACTATTATAAAAAATAAAAGAGGAAAAAAAGTTGTTTTAGATGAAGATGGTGATTTTTTTTTGAAAAATTATTTCACAAACTTAACTTTTTTTCTTTTTAATTTTTTAACTTTTTTTTTATTTTTTTTATTTAGATTTATTGGAAAGATTAGATGAATTTAAAAATAAATTAAAAAAAGGTTCAAAACTTTTAGAGAGTAAAAAAGTAAAAAATGAAGAAGAAGAAACTTTGAAAAAATTAGAAAGGGAAAAGAAAAAAATTGAAGATGAATTAGACGATAGTCAACTGTGTAAAGTGCATCGATGGAAAAATTGTAAAACATGTTTTGATGAAGACGAAATTTTGGAGGAGATGGAAGAAGTTGGAGAAGATTGGAAAGATCACTCTTTAAATTTTGTTAAGGAAAAAGCAAATGGTAAAGTTTACATTTAAACAATTGTTCTTCTTTTCGTTTTAATTGGTATTAATTTGCATTTTAAGTTTATGAACCGAAGTTGGATGATTATACATTTATTGATCCACGCTTAGAAGCTAAAACGGGTGTTGTTCTTAATAGTACGGAAATAAGAAAAAAAAAGGAGATTTTGGATTTGGTCAAGGATGGAAAATTATAGTTTTTTTAAAGTAATTTTTTTAAAATTTTTTTTTTTAACTATTAACATCGTATAGAAATTTTTTGTCATTAATGTATAAATAGTAATATACTTACTTTTCTTGTTTCCCAAAATTTTATTAACATAAGTGATATAACAGTAACTTTTGTAATACTTTCCTTAGTTTGAAATTTTCCTGCCTAGCAGCTCAAGTCTATTATTAAATGAAATCACGTTTTTAGTGTAGCAAAAAGCCTTGTAAAATATATAACTACAGTATAACTTTCACCATTTTTCTCTTGTCGTCGTTCGTTTACCATTTTCTTAGCAAATTAATCGTTTCGTTCATACCATTCGCCAATAGCATTATTGCATTCGTTTTTAGGTATAATGATCCATCAATCAATTATTTCTGGTACGATAAATTCGTTAATCGTAAAGCCGTAAGTCGGTAGTCCGTTTTTAAGTTTTATGTTGGTTAGTAGAGAGTAATTATACTTTTGTCCAGTCTTACCATCTATATATTTCTACAAAAAAAAATTCATTAAATATCTGGCAATAAATTTTCTTTATCTTGATGATTTTATTTTTGCATCTGTCTTACGATAAAGTGAATAAAACCAAACAGTTGAGTAATCTTGACCTTCAAATTTTCTTAGTATTCTTGACAAATTATTATTAAAACTATATGGTGTTTTAATGATACTTTTGCATATATAAACATCAAATACAAAACTGAGTAAAAGAGTTAGTTTATAAGTTAAGCTTTTGTTAAAGATTAATATATTATGGAATATTTTTATCCAAGTTGATAAGCATTTTTTTTTTTTGGTAAACATCAATAAAAAATTGAGCAAAAGATTTAGGTTAAAAGTGACACTTTTTAATCAATACATTATGGAATGTGACTTAGCTACTACTTAAGCCAGGTGGTGGAATGCGTCAACTGCAGTTGGATTGTTTTCGCAATTATTAATACTAAAGTCGTTTAAAATTATATTTATCAATCAATATAATTGTTAAATTAAAAACTTAAAGTGATTATAAAACATGTAAAACAATACTATAGCCCTAATTAATTAAAAACCATTATCTATTACATTATGTTATGCTTTTCGTGGATTATCAATATAATAGTCTAAAGTCGTTATAAAATAATCTATATTAATTAAAAAGAAATTCCGAAAGTCGTTATAAAAATAATATGAAGAGAATGTGTCTTTTTTCTATATACTAAAACACCTTAAATAAACAATTGTAGTAAAACCATCAACAATTTTTGTTATGCTTTTCGTGAATTATTAATATTATAGTCTAAGGTCGTTATAAAATAATCTCTATTAATTAAAAAGAATTACTAGTTTAATACCTAAAGTCGTTATAAATAATCCAAAAATTATTGTGTAACGACTATTGCAGGTTTTTGTACTAATAATTAAAAACAAATATCGAACATTTTATAATTTTGTTATGCTTTTCGTGGATTACAAATATTATAGTCTAAAGTCGTTATAAAATAATCTTTATTAATTAAAAAGAATTACTAAGTTTAATACCTAAAGTCGTTATAAAATAATCAAGATATTGTGTAGCGACTTTTAGGTTTATATACTAAAACCAATTAATTAAAACAACTAACGTAAAACCTTTAACAATTTCAAGGCAGCGTGGCCGAGTGGTCTAAGGCGGTGGATTTAAGTCCCACTCCGAAAGGGCGCGAGTTCGAACCTCGCCGCTGTCAAATTTTTCTCTTTTTCAAATTTCAATTTCATTCAACACTTTTATCTACAATCAGCAGCACACTTTCTCCATTAGTAACAAAAATTTTTAATTTTTTATTATCTAACTTTATTTAATTGTGAATTATTAAATTTATTTTCACATTTTTGATTAATTTTCTCATTTACTATTTAATTTTTTCATACATTTTTGTAATGAAAAATGGTAGTTTAGTAGTTATATTACGTGTAATACAGGAGGTTCTTCGTTCCATCTACCCTTTGCTGGTTATTCAATATGAAAGAATTTATTGAACCCTTGCTGATACACTTTTCATTTAAATATCTAAAATGTTAGGAAATTCTTGAATTTCTTGTGTAACAATTAAATTTTAACGTCACTGTTTTTTAGATAAGGAGTAAATGGCGTTCTACTTAAATAATATAATAATAAGAGTATAAAATAGATCAAATTTAAGTCTTTTATTGTGATGAATCGAAGCTTTGAGAAGACTTTAGCATTTTTTTAGAAGTAATCAAATATTTTTTGGAAGTTCGTTGAAGTTTTGGAAGATTAAAGAACCTTTTGGAATTTGTTTCATATTTTCGTTTTGTTTCTATTTCTTTATTTGAAATCTAAATTTCAGTTAAAAAGATTAATTTTAGGTGGTTAGTTGTTAATTGAATTATTTTTTATTACAATACAACATCATTATTTAATAATTAAGATGTCACATAAAAATTTTCACTTACCTGAATTCATAGTCATATTCTTGCCATCGTATTTCATTTCCTAGTTTTTCAAATTCTGTGTTTCAAAGTTTCCAGTTTTCAACTCTTTCTGAATAATAAAAAAAAAATTAAAATAAATGACTGAACATTATTAAATAAGCAGTAACCGACGTTCTACTTAAATAAAATAATAATAAGAAGAGTATAAAATAGATCAAGTTATAAGTCTTTTATTAATTGAACAAACAAGCAAGGGTTACTATTTGCAAATAAAACATACTAGTTAAATTTATTATTTATATTCTTTTACTTAATCTTAGTTCTACATTAAATAAGAGACCAAAACCAATACAGTTTGATTGTTGTATTGTACTGAAAATGGTAGTGTAGATAGTTATAATGTGGTTACTATTTTACAAGGGTTTCTTTGTTACACAAACCCTTGCTTGTTTGTTCAATTAATAAAAGACTATTAACTTGATCTATTATATTCTTATTATTATATTAGTTAAATAGAACGCCAGTTACTGCTTATCTAATACATGAGGCTTGGGACTAAAGGCACTCCAGAGGGCCTTTTTTTCTAGTACACTCTAAAGTATTTAATTATTATAATTTATATTTCTTTATTAATTAATTAGATCAACTTAATTACAGAAATTTAACCGTTACTAAATTCAATACAATACCAGTGATTCAATTACAAGGATAAAAAAATTGTTAATTCATTCATAAAACATTCCCTTTCAAAATTAAAATTTATGTCAAAACAACACCTAAAAAATTCTTGGATAAACTTTATGAATTGTTATACTGAAGAAGAGCTCGCGAGTTACCAAAAACTGTTTACAATAATGTGGATACTGAAAATATTAAAGTTACTAAACAAAATAATTCTAATTGGGATAGCTGGGACCTTCAGCTATATGGTGCAGCATTAAGAGATGATTCAGTTTTTCTTCTGGAAGCAAATGAAGAACAACCTGTTAAATCAAGTGCAACTCAAGTTGAAATTAATAAACTGGGAAAAGAAAAACAGACAACTAAATAGTTTAATTCTATTAACAATCAGTGGAGACTAGATTGTCTTCATTTCAAAGCAAAATACTGGCAGGGAGAACTATATCTCTGAAAAGAGAGCATAGATCAAAAAGAGCTGTCAATCAGGAAAATTTCAAAGAAAGTATGAAAAATTTAAAAAAGAATCTAGAGAGCGTAGAAGCTCATATGGCTGCTTTTGATAGACTATACCAAGCTTTGGTTTCAGAGGAGGTAGCCTTACAGAATTAGAAAGATGCCGGATATTTTTGAGGTCTTTGGATGCAACATGGTATTACTTTGTGTAATCCATTGATACGAGCGCTGAAGTATTCAGCAATTCTAAAAATGAAATGGTTGAAAAAAAATAAATTATCGTTGGAAATGATAAAAAATAGAATTAGAGAAGCTAGTCTTACATTTATCTCCAACGACAATGTTAAAGTTGTAGAAGAAAGTGCAAATCAGTTGCATGAACGCATCAGGACAGAAGGAATCAAAACACCAAATAGACCAAAAGAGTTTCTAAGACACTTGAACTGTTGGAACTGTGGAGGGATTGGACATAGTTCATGACTTTGTTCTTCAGCAGTAAACCCTAACAGAAACGAATTTAAAAGAAGTGAGTTAGCAAACCAGTCTTTTAGAAAAAATCATACTCCGGAGCATTACGGATGGATGACAAGAGATGGTGTATCAATTATGTCAAACGATTCTGCTTATCTTGATAGTGCTTGCACTACAACAATTTTTAATGAAAAAAGGTTTGTTTAAAAGCCTTACATTGTATAAAGACTTACGAGTTTAGGTACCGTAATCCAACACAGCAGTGGCCAAATCCTTGGTGAAGGTGCTGCAAGAATTGTATTTTCAAATGGACTGAAATGACAATTCCAATATTTCCTAATGCGGTAATGAGGCAGTAGGAAAAAAAAAAAAAAAAAAAAAGAAAGGAGAAAATAATATTAAAGGGAGTTGGAAATATAATAGTTATTTTTATTGTTAAATATAAAATAATTTGTTGTATTTCTGAGCAACCGTAATACGGTCCAAGACATCAAGAGCGGTTGAAGATTCTTCGTTAATTATTTCTTTCAACCAGTCCATGCGTGGGTTGAAACCACAATTTGCAAAGAAGGGTGTTAGTCCAGTGCTTTGGTGGGTGGAGTTGTTGTATGCGAATTCGGCATGTGGAAGGAGTGATACCCAGTCATCTTGTTGATAGTTAATGAAGCATCGTAGATACAGTTCTAGGCATTGATTAACTCTTTCAGATTGTCCATCCGATTTGGGGTGATAACTTGAAGATTTATGTACTAGAAAAAAGCTTCTCTGGAATGCTTTTAGTGTCAAGCCTCATTAAGCATTCAAGGCGTAGTTTCAATTTCCCATACAATAATAGATTTTCCCACTTTATAAAACTTTACTGGTTTTATAAAGTACTTAGTTAAATTTATTATTTACATTCTTTTACTTTAATTTTAGCTCTACGTTAACTAAGAGACCCAAAACCAATACAAAACCAGTGCTCCAATTACAAGGATTAAAAAATTGTTATTTTAAAACACAAACTTTCAAAAATTTAACACTCACACTAACAATGAGCAATAATTTGGATTCCATAAAAAATGAAAGTTCCAAAGATAAATCCTCTTTAAGGTATACCAGCCAAATAAAAGAGGAACCACAAGTCGATTCTTGGATGGAAGATAGACTTATCATTAAAGACCTTTTAAAACAATTGCAGTTGAAAGACGAACAATTGAAAAAATTAAAATTCAATGAGAAAAGCCCCCCACCATTAACACAGTCATTGAATAAAAACGTTCTTAAAATGGTGGATAATTTGGCTTAAAAAATTCCGTTCATTGAAACCAAATTCAAAACAATTGATGTATTCATTCATCTAGAAAAATTTGACAGATACATTACCACAGCAACCAATTACGATTGTTACCACGACGAGCTTTGTTTGATGGCTTCCTACGATAAATTAGCTGATGTTCACCAAGTCCAGTGTCAGCTGCATTTTGATGTCACCTCTGATTGGTCAATGATTCAAGTGCCAGCATATCGTTCATGGCTTGTTTCCTACTTTAGAATTTATGAAAATGCGGATAAGTGCCGTAAAACATTAATGAGTGAAACCACCGTGCAAACACGATCTGCTGAGGAATTTCATGCTTATTTGAGTTCCTTAAAGCGACAAGTACCTGCAAGTAATCA